TGAAAGGGACCTCTACAGTCACTGGTCCAGTGTTTTGCTTGGAGCACGTGCAGTTGGAATAGGTTGCCCCAGGCCTTGTTCAGTCAGGTTTGGCCATTCCCAGGTACAGAGGCTCCACAGCCTTTCTATGCACTTGTTCTATATCTGACCACCCTCATGATGACAGTTGTTTCTTTAAACCCAATTTTATTGGATTATGAAGTCTCCATGTTCCAGCATGTGCCTGCTATCACATGTTCTGTTAWTGCTGGGCACCACTGAGAAGAGTCTGGCCCTCTGCACCTTTCCAGTAGGTATCTGTAGTCACTAACRAGATTCCTGCTACCAGTGTGATCTGTGTGTTCTTAATGATGAAAAGGGCCTTGGGTGTCCTGGGCTCCAGGTGCCTCYTAAGCCCACAGGCCTGTGCTTGACTCCCTGCAGGAGCTGCAGTCAGCAGTGGCCTGACAGAAGCCTCATGAAGCTAATTTCTCGGCTGAGGTCACCTTAGCAGTGGCCCCCAGTGAAAACACTAGCTGGTGTTGGCCTTTCGTGTTTGCTACGGCTTCAGCAATTTAGAGAGCAGTTTTTCTCTGCGGTTACATTTTTCTCACAGAACGTAGCTTTCTAGAATGGGTCAAGGAAGGTGACAGAGCAAAAGGAACAAGATTCTTAGCCGCTAAGCTGACCTCTTGGGAGCTCCTGCTGTTTCTAACTATATGCTTGCCTAGTCCCTGAGTTGCTACATGTCCCCAATTCTGGTTTGGCTTTTTGTTCACTTACCATAATAATTCTCAAAAGGTGACCTTCAGATGAAAAAAGGCTTGGTTCTCCTCTGCTACTTTTTGACTTTAAAAATGTGYAGAGAAGGCCCAAACCTTTGATTTGTTGAGGAATGTTTTGGGTGGCTTATTTTTTGGTTTCTTCTTTCCATTTGTTACAGTTTTAAGCTCTCTGCTGTAGAGGGCCATGTGGTTAACAGCAGGCTGGTAAGATTCTTATGCTTTAGAAACCAGGCAGCAAGAAGATAGCTAAGGAATGATTGGCCTTTGGTGTAAAATTTGCCAGCTTTTGCTTGGAACATTTCCCCTCCCCACACACACACGTACACTTGAGCTTTTGGGAAGGTTTTGGTCCCTTTCTCCCCTCCCCTCAGTTAAGGCTTGCAAGCTCTTAGGCTTGCTCTAGGTATTTTTCAGATACCAAAGAAGGCTTTCACTAAAAATGGGTTTTCTATTTCTGGTACTTAAGTACCTAAATAAGCATGAGGGAAAGCAGTCTATCCAAAGCCTTATGAACTAGCAAAGCAAGCCAGCCAAAAGCGGTGACATCAATTTTATTTCCTTTACAGGAAGGTGGCCTTTGAGGCCTGAATAAATCAAGACTAGGAATTTTCCTTGTTTTATGTAGCAAGTGGGGAGCTACTGGAATTTGCAAAGCACAGGTGTGTAATGGGTTTGCGCCAGCCTGCGATCCTGCTACTTGCAGTCATCTTCTGGCACTTGCTCTCATCCTTATGTAGGCAATTCTAGTAGCTACTGTTTATTTGCTTTATGTTGACATCTTTCCCTCCCATGTGACTGTTAAGTTTTGAAGGAATATTGGCTGCTGTCACTTGCAAAGTATCAAAGTATTTCTCTGTTTTTTTCCTGGTCAGATAAGTAGAGTGAGTGTTCAACAGGTAAATGTGCTGAGATAAATCTGCACTTAGAGGATTTTAATGAACATGGGGTTTTTTGGAATTGATTGGTATATACTTCCAACTTCTGCGTCTCCCTGGAAGAATTTTCCAATAATTTCTTAAAGCCTAAACATGTGAGTGGTGAAGAGCTACTGTTCTATTTCAGTTCAACACCACAGAAAGCACTTTTCATTTGGCAAGGCAAAGGCACTATACTGAGGTTAAACAGCAGTACATGGGAACTAATCCAGCAGTTCACCTTCTAGCTTGCCTGCCGCAGAGAATCAAAATAATCACAGAATCTTGAATACCTGCAATTTGACTGAGGGTTTTTTCCTCCTTCCTTATTGTGGAAAAGTAGCTTAGGTTCTCTCTTCCTTACAGGCTCAAAGCAGTCATTTCCTTTCCTCCTCCTTGTCCTGCTCCTTTCCTCCTCCTACTTGTGAGCCTAGTCTGGACTGGGGAAATGGAGCATTGTATAGTTGAAATGACTGTGATGAGCCTCGTTTCCCACACAGTGAGATCCAGAATTACCTCTCTTTGCCTTTGGATCCTGGAACAAAGTGCAGTTCTTCAGTTGGAGCACAAGGCAGGCAGAGCTAAAGGAGGAGGTGCTGAGAGGATAAAAGGCGCCTCTGGTTTTATTCAGTTTCCTAGTGAGACTTGGAATTCATCCCCTTCCTGTTTTGGAGTCAGCAAGCAGTATGTAACCAAGCACAAMCCTTTTTGGCTTTAGCTGGAGTGCCACAAAATCTTCAACTGGATTTTGCAGATTTTCTTGTGGTTCATTCAGAAGTGTTTTTGAGAGGATTTTCTACACCCTTGAGGTACTTGAGACTTCCAAGCAGGCACTTGGTGCATTTGTTGCACCATAGGACAAGACTAGCTTTTCTCAGCAGACGTRTTGTATTACTGTTTACAGCCACCATCTAGAAAATCGTAGCTGCAAGGGAGGAATAGGATGGCAGAGTTACTGCYTACAGAGTTGGAAGTTGGCACAATTGCTGGCTTAAAGGAACCCTCACATACTAAGGCAAAGGAGTGTTGAAATTCAACCTAATTTTTACAGAACTTGGCTAAAATATTTGCCTTTTAGTTCACAAATGCTGATAAAAGTTACCAGGCCTAGGAACTCGGGGCCAGTAATGTTTCAAATGCATGTTCTTCAGTGCTTTTGTTTTGTGGATTATCTGGTGTTCTCCCTCATGCGTAGACTTGACGCAGGGTATGAGATGTGGGGAAAATGGCAGTTGAGTTTTGTTTCTGAAATAAGTTTAATGTTTGCTGTGTGTTACCTCCTGGGGCAATTTGTGACTGCTTGGATGCCTACAACTAGAATGATTTCCCTACTAGACTACTAGCCTCTTTTAATGCTCAGTGTTAGGAGCTGTTAGTTCCTAGAGTCTTAATATTTTAAAGAAGGTTTAGAAATAAATATTGACACTTACATTGACTRGAAACTCAATATATCTCTTAATTGACTGGAAACTTGCTGCTATAGGAGTTTTGGTTTACCTGGGGTATGGCATTTCAGGCTTTGGAGTATAGTATTAGATATTATTTCATTAGAARCTATTGTAATTCAGGTGGTGTTTGCTGGTTTCTGAATATAGTCATAGCACGAGCCACAGCTGAAAAATGGCTGGAGGTTTCTTGCCTGTAATATAGTTTTTCTGTTCATGTTTGGCTTTATTAAACATGAAGCTTAACTTTTCTTTTTTTATAGAACCAGTTTATATTGAATTTGTGAAAGGTGGTTTATCTTCAGTCAAGATGAATAGTGGAGAGAGAAGGTTTTGCTGCTAGGTATTTGAAGCATAAAAGATTAATCTACTCTGGAGGTGTGAAAGTAACTTGTGTAATTTCAATTAAAAAAAGGCAAAATTCCAGTGTTGATGCTCTTTGCTTATCAGAAACATGAAATTTCATAAAACTGCCATGTACTATTCTGGTTTCTTGTATAGCTTTTTGTATGACAGCTAAGTGGAGACAATTATTTGCCACTCTGAGGGGTGCGTTTCCATGAGCTGCTATAACATTTCCCTCCCTCACTGATAGTGATTTCTCAAATCTGTAAGGATGGATTACTTGGCGGTTTTACCAGAGGGAGTTAGGCAAATCTCATGCAAACAAAAGCACCTTCAGGATAATTGTTCCATTTTTCTTCCTCTCTCCTTTTTATATAAGATTTATTTATCTTACGGGTTGTGTGTTGGCAAACTTGTGAGCTGTACTTGTGATAAATTTTTGCATTTGTTTAAGACATAATAGATATATACTGGCATTGCTGTCCCACAAATAATTTTTTCGTATATACTTAGCCATGTTAGTGGAATACTAAGTAGTTATTCAGTAACACACCTTTTTTTGAAAGTATAAATACTTCAATAGGGGGAAGGGAAAGGTTTCTTCTCCCCCCCTTTAAGGTTTTCCTGCATAGTATCTCCTTTGCTATTTTTAAAACCAGCCCATACATTTATAGAGAAGAGCATTTATTTCAGGGAAGCTCAAATATTCCTTATTACCTTGTAATGCTAGGAGCATTGCTATAGCATAATAGCATTGATGTGGATAGCATTTTTGTTGCGTTATAGAATAGGAGCTCCTGGTAAYAGGAGCGTTTCTGTTGGGTTGTCCCATACACAGTAGGGCATTGGACAGAGGCAGGCAAAGATTTAAGCTAAATATACACCACACTTTATCACTGCTGTACCCTGGACCCCATGTATATGGCTGAAAATGCCTAAGTTCTGCTGGGAAGCATGGCTTTTTGTCACTACAGYTGCATCTCCTCAAAAGCTTCTAGTGTTGGGTTGAGAGGGATGGAAAAACAAAAAAGGAAGGGGATGTATGCCTGTCTTCCATCAGTGCTTTGAGTGAGGATTAAGTTTTCATCCTTATCGTGGACARCTTGGCTGTGGAGCAGAACAGCACAGGATCTGGCCGCTCCTCATCAAACAGGGGAGCTGAAAGGAGAATGAAATCTAGGGGCTTGGCCTGCTGTCCTCAGGGCACTTGGGCAGCAGCTGAACTTGAGGATAAAACCTTACTTTGGTTGACTGCCCTAGAGGCAGCTGGTTTGGGCTTGAGCTTTCCTTTCTGAAAGAATTCAGCAGCCCTGGCRCAACTGATGGATTTAAAAGTCAAGTTTGCTCTCTTGAAAAACCATGACATTGGTAAATGTGTGAATAAACACTTTCTCAAATGTATGAAAGACTGGCGAGTAAATAGAGCAGTGCTTCCTTCTAAGAGACACTTTTTCTGTTAAATTAGTTTGTGTCAARAAAAATCTTGAAGTCAAACTGTTTTTAAACATGAGTTTTTCTTTTTTTTTTTTTAGCACTGGTTGGATCATTCTAAACTCATTAAGAAGCAAATAAAAAGTAAGTACTGCAGATCTGCTTGTTTATTACTTTGTTAAGAATTTGAACTCAGAGTATTTGAACATGATTGTGAACATGTGCATATGGCCTTTAGTAGAACGAATATTTCTCAGAAAAATGGATTTAACTTAATGGCTAGCTGCTGGAGTATATCTTTTAGTCTAAATACAAGAGCATTTTAATGGACCGGTCTTCAGCATTTCTCATTAAACATATGCTGACTGAGATGGAGTGTGTTGCCAGGTAATTTTAGTCTAATCTGTGAGATCAGGTTGCCTGGACACAGATCTTGGTTTGTGTCATTGTTTCTGATCCATAACAGAGTTTGGTTATGTTTTATTTTCCTCCAAAATTCAACTAGGGAACAGTTTTATTCTGTAATCCTACCTCTCCCCCATCCTTTCTTCTGTATTGTAAATAAAGCTTGTGGAAGTAGCTGTTCTTTTATGAAAGCAATTGGCTAAGGCAGGTAATTTGYTCCTGGTTCTCTGATGATTTTGTTGCAGGCTTGGGCACAGTACAGCATCAGCCCAGAGGCCAGCTGACAATGCACTTGTATTGCAAACAATGCAAGTTTCATACAGTTTAAGTGAAATACAGAGCTTTGAGGCAGTTGTTAGCCCACTTGCAGGACTTGGCAAGGGTACTCAGGCTATTGAGAAGGCCTTTGTGGGCAGTGGTGCTCTTTTTCCAAGTCTTTTAGGGCAGTTGATTTTCACCCCTCCCTATGYGAGCGTTTGCTAGATTAGGTAATAAAGATGCCTGCTAGGAGTAAGGTTTTCGTGGTTGACTTTCTCTCACCTTTTCAGCACCAAAAACTGCACCAAAGCTGCACTGAGCAGAGTTTCAGCTACAGATCTTCTAGTCAAATAGATTGTTAGTAGACATGCAAATACTATGGTGGTGGGGTTTTATAGAATACCTTGAAAAGACAAATATATATATATATATATTTTTTTCTAACACTGTGTATACCAACTGGATGTCAGCTTGGAATGTGAGGCCAGGGCAGCTATCAATACATTGGTTACAGTCTCATAACAACTGTATAACAWTTTTTTAATAGCATTAGAAAAAGAATTGGAAAAGAGTAATTTTTTTCAACTCCATTTCATGGAGTTGGGTAGCTTACTGCRTTTGGGTATCTTGCCTGTGCCCTTCCAAATAAATCGATATAGCTAAAGCTGAACATCTGGGTTTGTTTRTATTTATATCAGGTGGCTGAAATATCTCCATCTTCCTCCAGCAACAGGTTACAGATCTGGTAGCATCCTGGATTGTTGTTTGATTAATGTAATAATTAGCAAGAATGACATGTGTTTTAAGGTTTAACCAGATGAAATATACACTGCTTTGGAGAACTTCAGAATATATTTGTGTTTCTTGAGTGCTGAGATGGTGGCTACTTGTTCAAGAATGCAAACTGATGCAAACCCTGTTTTTCTCTGTTTAAACTGCCTGTGTTTACAGTTGGACCTCCGTACACGTTGCACTTTCGAATTAAGTACTATTCGTCCGAACCGAATAACCTTCATGAGGAGTTTACAAGGTAGGGAATACACACGGTTAAATAAGCAGCTCAAAGAAGGGTATTTAGGGCACCTACGGCATGAGAGGTACGATATGAGCCCATCATTTGAGTTTGGTTAAAAAGAATGATCATTTTGCCGGACGATCATTCAAAAAACATCTTTTTCTCTCGC